AGGATTTTGGGGGATTAAAAAAAGGAGTGAATGGATTTTTATCATTGTAGGGTGGTTGTGTCCACACACTGCTAAGATACATTTATATGCAAACACCATGTAAAAGTGAATTTTGCATCCAGTGTCTACTTTAAAATTGAAATATAATCTTAATTCAAGCGATGAAGGATTTTGAAAGTCTGACAGTAATCCGTTGAATACTACTGTAAGGTTAACCCTGCCTGGTTTACATGTTTGAAAATGATAAACAGTTGAAAACATTAGAAATTTAGAAAAGTAATCAAAAAGTAATCAAATGTAATCAGTTACATTACTTTAATAAAATAATTGAAAAGTTACAATCAATACTTATTTTTAAGTATGGTAACTTGTAATCTGTAACCTATTACATTTTCAAAGTAACCTTCCCAACACTGTATATGTGTCAAAGTACCACCTTATATGCTACTATGGCACTACAGTATCATTGGGCCTACTGGTTTGTATGAATGCTCCGGATTACGACACGCCGCAGACACAGTCGAATAGCAACAGCTGACGTTCCCCGCACCATTGTTACGTCGCGCGTGACGCCCCGCCCCGCCCCGCCCGCAGCCATGCGTACTGAGCTTGTTATCGGGTCGCTTGTTATGACTGGAGAAGGCCTCGGACTCAATTAAAACTTATCCCCGGGACAGCCGCATGCTCATGGAGGGCATGGACATAGACCTGGATCCGGAGCTCATGCAAAAATTCAGCTGCATGGGCACCACGGATAAAGATGTCCTCATCTCGGAGTTCCAGAGGCTGCTGGGCTTTCAGCTCAACCCGGCGGGCTGCGCCTTCTTCCTGGACATGACCAACTGGTGAGTCCGGGGACTCGGCCGCGGCCTACTGCTGAACTAAACATAAAGAGTTGACCACTGCGATTTCTTGCTTTAAAATATGTTGCAAGTCAAAAATTGCATCGCTAGGACAGCTGTCATGAGCCCAGTGGAGTTTAAATGGATCTGAAGCGAAAAACACAACAAGCTAATGGCTACTTGACTGTTTACAAAGATGGTAACTGTAACGTTTCGGCTCATATGACCTACAGTAGTGATATTTTAGACATTCAAGCTCTTAAAAATACATTTTCTAAAACATGTTCTTAAACAACTCGGTTTGTCTTATTTATGTCAGTTGTCATTCAAACATGTAACGTTAGCTTGTTTGTGCTAGTGACTCGCTACAGTAGTGGCTGTGTTTCAAAACCTTTTACGTTCCCTATCTAAGCAGCATTTTGGGGGTTTTCTGACTTGAAATGCTGCTGACTAGGATCGTGCATTCAAAATGCTGTCTAGGTAGGGGCTCGCAAATGTTTTGAGACACAGACATTGTCCAATGTTGTTTAGTCACGACCCTTCAAAAATACAATTTTGCCTAAGTTTTTGTTTGTAATAAGCAGCACACTAAGTGTCCATACGTTGTTGTTGTAAATTTGGTGTTTGACGTGAGGACTGGTGTAAAGTTTTCTTTAAGAGTTACGTAATGCACGAGTGTACTTTCATCTGAGGTCTTACACACAGTCCAACACAAGTTTGTCCCACCCTTCTTTTGTTTTGAACATGACTTTAATTTCTGGACTGTTTATTTGCTAAATATATTTCAATCCATGTTTTTGTATGTGTTAACTTCAAATATTTTAAATCAAAAATGGAATGGTGGAACTCTAAACCATTTGAAATGTACTGTTTTTATTGTGTGTATGTGTGTGTGTGTGAGTTATTAATATTGTCTATTTATTTATGGACATGATATGAACCATTTATAGGGTATATATGTCAAAAAAGGGAGTATATAAGTGGTATTGTGATGCATTGTGGTACTTTTAAGATGTTGGGATTGACACGAGCTGTATGCCATGCTTCTTCCAAGTTCAGCTTTATAATAAACCTTCTATTGTACATCATGAATCTTGTTGGCTCTGTGATGAATTGCTTATGTTCCTCTATTGTAAGTCACTGGATAAAGTTTGCTAAATGCATAAATGTAAGTTACATGTTTGTTGGCACTATTGGCTGATGATTAATCTGCTTTTCATACATTTAATTTGGGCATGTTGTTTTGCTCTTGGCAATTACATTGTCCCTGAATCTCCAATGTTGATCTGCCTGTATTCGTGTCTTATCAGGAACCTGCAAGCAGCTATTGGTGCGTATTATGACTTTGAGAGTCCGTACATCAACACGCCGTCAATGTCTTTTGTGGAAGATGTGACGATTGGAGAGGGGGAGTCTGTTCCTCCTGACACACAGTTCACAAAGACATGGAGGATACAGAACACAGGTGAGTGTTTCCTCACTCTGGTTGTAAATATGAAGAGGCTGATGCTCTAACAGATTGTAATTCAGAAACAGCATTAAGACGACTCCATTGTGGAATCTCTTGGGATGACTTAAATGTTTTGTCTTATTATTTATGTATTCAGTAGTCATTTTGAACTGTAATAAACCTAGTTTAACTTAGATTTATTTATTATTAGCAGTCTTTACTTTTATTTCATACTTGTTTCATGTTCATGTTTGTTAATTTGATAGTTTCAATTTCCGCATTATAGACTATTATATTTCCTAAAATTAACTGATATCAGAATATCAATAATAGTTTTGCTTCTTTTAAGGATTGATGATCTAGCCACATCACGTTAAATCCTTTGTTTTGTCAAACTTTAATGTTGTTCCTGTCTTCGTTGCAGGTACAGAGTCATGGCCCCCGGGTGTGTGTCTGAAGTATGTTGGCGGGGATCAGTTTGGCCATGTGAACATGGTGATGGTGCGGTCCCTGGACCCACAGGAGATCTCAGACGTGAGCGTGCAGATGCGCAGTCCAGCTGTTCCTGGCATGTACCAGGGCCAGTGGAGAATGTGCACTGCCACTGGACTCTTCTACGGAGGTGAGATGCAAACGATAAAGTAACAGTCAATGTTTTCAAGATATTAGGCTATGAAACAACTATTTAAAAGGAATGAAAGAAAAAATAGCTGAAAATGTACTTACCCTCAGGTCATCCAAGATGTAGATGAGTTTTTTTTCTTCATCACAGCAGATTTGAAGAAATGTAGCATTACATCACTCGCTCGGCAATGGATGCTCTGCAGTGAATGGGTGCCGTCAGAATGAGAGTCCAAACAGCTGATAAAAACATCACAATAATCCACAAGTAATCCACACCACTCCAGTCCATCAATTAACGTCTTGTGAAGTGAAAAGTTGCGTGTTTGTAATAAACAAATCCATAACTTCAACTTTTTTAAAAATTGTTTACTTTGACTGTTTTTAAACTGTCACTTCTGGCCAAAATAATCCATAAAGTTGCTTTCTCCAGTGAAAAAGTTGTCTCGTCTGAATCAGGAGAGAAATATGCACAGATCAAGCACCGTTTACAAGCGAAAACAGTCCAAAACTGTTCTAAACAAATACGTCTGTGTATTTTGATTTGAGGAGACAACAGGGGATGAACTTTTTCACTGGAGGAAGTGTTATTATGGATTATCAGAGATTTATCCAGAAGCAATGGTTTAAAGTTAAAACACCATAATGATGGATTTGTTTCTTACAAAGATGCAGATTTTCATCTCACACAGCATTAAGTGATGGACTGTGGATTATTGTGATGTTTTTATCAGCTGTTTGAACTCTCATTCTGACGGCACCCATTCACTGCAGAGGATCCATTGGTGAGCAAGTGATGCAATGCTACATTTCTGCAACTCTGGTCCGATGAAAAGGTGAGTAAAAATTAAGCAGATTTTCATTTTTTTTAAACTATTAGTTCAAAAAAGATTAATATGCAAAACGTTATGCAATGACAAACATTTTAAAGCAATAGTTCACTCGGAAATGAAAACTGTGGTCATTTACTCACCCTCAAGTTGATCCAACCACATATAATTTTCTTTCTGCATACTAAAAATAGTACAGTTAGTATAGTAGTATGCCATTTAGAGCATTAGTTCTGCATGTTCTGAGTACTACAACCAACTTTGGTGAATGGAGGACATAAGGCTCACCTCATTCCCCTTGTTGTGCAGATGTGATCTGGGTGATCTTGAGTGTGGAGGAGGGCGGCCTGCTGGGCGTCACACAGCAGTTATCCTCCTTCGAGACAGAGTTCAACACGCAGCCACACCGCAGTCTGGAGGGAGACTTCAACCCTTTCGCCTCACCACAGAAGAACAAGCAGGACACCAATGAGGATAATCTAAAAGACCCCGGGGGCCACTGGGAGGCCCCTCTGGACTCCATTCAGCAAGATCAAAATGGACTCAATCACAGCTCTGTAAATATTACACCAAATGGTCTCCAAAACAACTTTTCAGTAGTGACTTACAGCCAGGTATGTATGCTGTTTGGAGAATTTCATTGAGTTGAAAGAAGATTAGCATGATAGTAACTAATGTTAACTAATGAACCATATTAAAGTGTTACCGAGACTTTTTAAAAACAAAAACAAAAAATCTTACTGACCCCTAACTTTTGAATGGCAGTGTATATCTGTAACAAAATCGTCACACATATATTTAGAATATTCAGTATCACCCAGCGGTAGGTGTAAGTAGTATGTTAGAATAATGAACGATTATGACTACTCTTCACTAATGGCGCTTTTCCACTGCGTGGTACGACTCGGCTCGGCACGGCTCAGTACGGCACGGCACGGCACGGTTCGGCTCGGCACGGTTTGCGTTTCCACTGCAGTTCAGTACCGCTTTAGAGTGGGCGGGATTATTCACATGTCGTTATAGTTGCGCCGCCTCTACTACCACGACTCCTAAAAAAACTTTTTTTTTTTACAAATCAAGTATAATGGGAACACAGAATGATCTTGGAGAGAGCTTTACCGAGCTGACTGTCGTAACCGAATGCGCCCAGGGTTTAAAGGGAACGAATGACTGACAGCCACAGTGGAGAAAAGAGTTTGGGTGAACTTTAATGTAAGGACTTAAATATTCATATGTAGCTCACATTAAGCTATCGTATGGCTTCAGAAGTAACACAGAATAATTCGCACAATCGGGGAAAAAAAATAAAATAAAATCTCGGATTTGGATCGGCTCTCTCTGACCGATACCCGAGCCGAGAAAAATGGTACTATCGGAGCCGATACCCGATATGAATATCGGATCGGCGCATCCCTATATTGTATACTAAATGTACTTCTCAAATTACTAATAATAATAATATTATTATTTTTACGAATACCATACAAGCAAAATATTTTTTCATCCATGTTTTACTTCATACAGCTCTGTTGTGCAGCATCCTATTTGACCAAAAATAAAAACGCAATGTTTTGTTGTAATTGTTACATTTTCATTTGATTAAATTTTTAAAGTGAACCGTACCGAGCCGTACCGTGCCGTACCATGCAGTGGAAAGGCGCCATAAGATGACAAGTCCAGTTCTGTGATCCTAACACAAATGTTCATGATTAAGCGGCTTTTTCCAAAGGTAAGTGAAGAGGTTAGGCCAAGATGGGTTCAGAAAACCAAGATGAAACACTCAGCAGGTCTTTTCAACACTCTCTCAAAATCTTCCTTTCATGCCAAAAGTCTTCACTGGAAACTTCTCAATGTACTGACTGCCGTATGATCTGTTAGCACAGAAGGTCATGTAACAACTGCGTGTCACCTTTTTTTTTCTCTGCCCTGTTTTGTGACGTTTAACCAAAGAAATGCACATTCTGATGATTCACCGTGTTTGGTTACACCTTTCCTCGTTCCGCACAGCTGGGGCTGGGAGATACAGCTAAAACAGTTTCAGCCTTTTGATGATTCAATAAATATCTCGATTCTGTATATATATCTGCTCTAAAATATCTTATAAAGGGTGATTTTGTGGTGTTTTCGTTTATTATTTGACATTATTTTAACTCGACAGCCAATGTCTTTAAGCATATGCAACATTTAAAGGGGTCATATGATGCTGCTAAAAAGAACATTATTTGGTGTCTTGATTTTACTGTTTTAGTTTTCTTTTATATGCACCAATATAACAGTACATGGTAATAAATAGCAATATTCATTTTATTATATGATTAAGTGATGAATCCCACAACATTTTTGAGTGATTATGCAAAAACAATTCTTAAGAATTGATTTATTGAAATAGAGTTATAGTTCCTGAACCCAACCAACAGCATTTTCTCGTATGTTTTCCATGGAATACTGGAAAAACCTGTACTGAATTTCCATGCAGATAGACAAAAAGGGCTGATTGGCTCTCTGCTGACATTATTGCTGACTTGTGACCTGTGTGGTTGATTTAGCACTATAATATTATAACTTAGAAATTGTTATTACGCATTATATTTTTCATGCATCAAAATAGTTAAAGGAATAGATCATACAAAATTTGCTGATTATTTACTCATCCTCAGGCGATCCAAAATGTAGATGAGTTTGTTTGTTTATAGGAACAGATTTGGAGAAACGTAGCATTACATCACTTGCTCACCAATGGATCCACTGCAGTGAATGGGTGCCGTCAGAATGAGAGTCCAAACAGCTGAGAAAAACATCACAGTAATCCACACCACTCCAGTCCATCAGTTAACATCTTGTAAAGTCAAAAGCTGTGTGTTTATAAGAAACAAATCCATCATTAAGGTGTTTGAACTTTAAACCATTGCCTCTGGCCAAATACGAGTCCATAACGCTTCAGCCATTCACTGCAGAGGATCCACTGGTGAGGAAGTGATGAAACGCTAAATTTTTAAAAATCTATTCCGATAAAGAAACAAACTCATCTACATATTGGCTGTTTGGTTTGTTTTCTGATTTACAAAAACACCCTTTAAACTATTTCATAAATTCATATTGAGATGTATATGTCAAAAGGCTGAAAAATAATGAAAGGCATTTTATCTCCCAGTCCCATGTAGAAGTTTGTCCTTCTGAATTTGGCTTTGATGTGTTCATGTTAACGCCAGGGTTTGCATCTGTGAATGTCAATCTAGAGGCTGTTTAATATGCCCTTAATGGGGTTAAACTTTGCCTCTCGGCCACAAGATGGAGTTCCATGCAAGCATGTGAGCTGATGCAGAAATGTTTATTAACCAGTTAAAGCGGTCACTGTTGAAATCTCAGATGACTAACAGTAAACCCATAGCCTAAATATGTTCCCAGTGTAACGTAAAGTTAGAGAATATTTTCTTTAACAACAACCTGCAGGCCAAATATCTGTGTAAAATTGGGTGTTGATACTGTTGTTACTCATTCATTGCTCATCATATTTGAACTAACCCTCAGAATTAATCTATGTGACAATAATAATATTAATCACATAGACTTACACTGAAGGAGGGACTTGAGACAGAGACTTGGAGATCTTTTTATTAAGGGTGCAAGCAATCACTTAAGAAAAGTTTTGAACGGTCAAGCACCATTTCCGTTTTCTTCAGCAAATGTATTTACAAATGGCCTTTGACATAAGAGTTTTATCTCATTGTTTCTGTTTCTTCCCAGGGCATTAATGGACCCTTCCCGTTCGGACAGTCTTAAGATACAGAAACCACTCAGTAGCTCATCGGAGCTGCTGCTTTTGCCCTTTTCTAGGGTTCAGTGAGAGGAGGAAGAGATTTACTCTAAAGACTTGGTGACCCTCCCTCTCCCCCGACGCATCACAACATCACATAAATGTGTGGACAAATCTGTTTGGCTCCAAATCAATATTGAACCAACACCTGAGTTACGCATGTGTGAATGCTAGATTTAGATGAGTGCTAGAAATTCTAAAGAGATATAATGAAAAATACACCGTTTTTTGATCCGTATTGTCACATTACAGCAGTAAATTCAGATGCGTGAGTGAGTGCTCGAATGCACAAGAGAAAGAGAGGCAAGACAGGCAGATGAATGAATGAATCTTACGAGAACATGTCTGAGTCATATTTCACACCAAAATCAATAGGAAAGCATAAGAAATTAATATTTTGCGTAAAGAAAATATAGCATGTTTTTAGGATTTTGCCTCATGACAATTAAGCACATTTCCCCCCAAGATTTCCATTACTGTAATAAAACTGGGCATTTTATTTTTTAGATTATTTTTTTTGTTTTATTTAAATTTTTTTTTTTTTTTTTTTGGTTATTCCAATTGTTCTCACATTTAGTTTACATTTTTGTATAAAATTTGAAAATTGCACTAATTTTTTATAAGCCTAATTTAAATGCAACCAATTAACGTATGGCAAAAAAATATTTTACAAATTAAATATATTTTTGCATTGCATCAAATGATTAATTACTATGAAAAGGTCACAACGAAGGAAGTCTTAGTCTTAAAAACTGGCTTACTTTTCTTTAAGCAATGTATAATTTTTAATTTCTTCCTTTTGGTTTTGCGGTGCAATATGACTGGGGTTTGTTCTTGACAGGTTTTGTGGGAGTCACCTCAATATGTGTGCAACTGAGTGTTTCAGCCGTGCACAAAAGCCATCAACAAAGAATTAATGCCTGTCAAGTAGTTTTATTATTTTTCATCAATGTTCTTTATAAACTGAACAGTTTGGAGAAAAAAGGTCAATGTGCCTACTTGGAGGTTAAATTGTGTAATTGCTTTCATATGGTCCTTTGCCAGCCACAAACTGTTCTCTGGATTCAGTTAAAAAAACAACAACAACAAAAAAGCCCAGCAACCTGTACAGCGTAAATGAGCACATTACGTCTCATTATATTGAAGTATACATCTGTCCTGCCACCACAGGTCAAGTCATAGCTGTCGTCAGAGATCTTGTTGCTGTTATCATATTTGTTTACATTGTTGTTCTGGAGTTCCAGAGTGCTGATGTTGGTTTCCACTTGTAATGACTCGATCCATCAGAGATGATAGCAAGCAGATGTGGCTTTGGTTCCCTTGTTTACTGACCTAAAAGTTCACAAGCACGTCACTGATAGATTTTCCCAATCATACATTTTTGTCATTCACCTAGACCTACGATGGTATTAAGCTGTTTTAAATGAGCTGAGGTGTTTTAATGAGGGGAAAGTATGAGAACGAGTTCATTTTAAAGGAATATTTTGGGTTAAATGCAAGTGGATGTCATCTGTAGGGTTGCAAAGGGGTGGAACATTTCCGGTAAATTTCTGGAAACTTTCCAAAAATCCCTGGAATATTCCCAAAAATCCTGGAAAGTTTCCAAAATTTCTGGAATATTTCTGAAATTTATTGGAAATGTTCCACCTTTTTGCAACCCTAGTCATCTGTGACAGAAAATAATTAGGATTCGTACCTCTCTACCCGAAAATGCATCGACATGTATGTGCCTACAATTGAAGTCTGTGGCACGTGCACTACTTCCATTGTAAGGGCATTTCCCTACACACTTTTTTTATTTTATCTTAATAAGATACCAGTTATTTTCTGTGGTAGCATTTGCATTTAACCAAAAATATCCTTTTTAATTTGTATTCTTGAGTTGTTGCTAAATGTTGAAATGGCAGATTTCAAGCTGGAACGCTCCAAATAATATTTTAATGCATAAAGGAGTTTTGTGGAATTTATTTGGTTTAAATCGTGCCTCTGTGTTTGGTATGATGGAAGGCCGCTTGAATGTTTATATCTTGCTAAATATATATGAAAGGCTGTTTTACTCACCATTTTCTGTTTTGCTGCAATGGTTAGGCAATTTAAAACACATAAACAAAACATTAACAAGTCTCCTATAATGTTTTTCTCTATTGGTCTGATAAACGTTAGGTCATGAAGATGAAAGCGTTTAAACTAATTAGCTGCTATCCTCAAGCAGTATGCAAATCAAGGAGCCCAAATTGACCTTTATGTCAAGGCAATAGAGATTAGAGTCAGCATGTCTTGTTAAATTTAACACGTCAGGCAATTGTTGTCCGTTTCCCCCCAGTTCTATGCACCTGGAAAATTTCGCCATTAACGATACCAACATTGCGTCCAGTGTTTTAGAAATGCTGTGGCTTGAGTTTTACACTGCAAATGATCTATGCAGTGTTTTAAGGGACTGTCCCTTCCATATTCCAAAAAGTTGCACTCACAGTTGAAGCATAAAAGAAGTTAATGTTCTGAAACTGGTCGCCGTTTTATGTTGCCGTTAGGACAGAAGTAAACTGACATTTCGCCTAGTGCTCGGCCCATAAACAGCTCATTGGATGATGCCATCGCTTCATCAGTCAAGTCTTCCTTTGAGCTGTTCTTAGTGAATGTCCTCACCCCTAGCGCTGCACACTTCACAGCCTCCTTCCGATTTATAATTACACTCTGTTATTTTTTTTGTGTTGCTTATGCATGTGAGAAGTGTGATTGATTCATCTGCATGTTTGTAAGAATCAAATTCATCATTAAGGCATTTTAACTTTAAACTCTCACTTCTGCCCAAAATAGCCTGTAATAATGCTTCTTCCAGTGTCTCCAGTTGTCCTCCCAAATCAAAATGTGTTGTGTTGTTCCAAACCCGTAAGACCTTCGTTCATCTTCGGAACACAATTTAAGATATTTTTGATTAAATCTGAGGGCTCTCTGACCCTCACTGCCGCGCTCACGACAGTATCATGACATGTGGCGGCGCCGGCGCTGACCCAGATCCGGCGTGATGACGTAATTACGCCGGATCTGGGTCAGCGCCGCCACACGCTCGCGTCATGATACTGTCGTTAGCGCGCGTCCACAAGTGACGCAGTACAGACGAAAATGTGGAATAAAGTCGTTACTTTTGTTTTCTTTGCTCAAAAAAGTATTCTCGTAGCTTTGTAACTTTAGAGTTGAACCACTGATGTCACACGGACTACTTTGTCGATCATCTTGGTACTTTTCTGGACCTTGAACGTGGTAGTTACCTTGCTGTCTATGGGAGGGTCAGAGAGCCCTCAGATTTCATCAAAAATATCTTAAATTGTGTTCCGAAGATGAACAAAGGTCTTACGGGTTTCGAACAACACGAGGGTGAGTAATTAATGACAGAATTTTCATTTTTGGGTGAACTAACCCTTTAACAAGTTCTGGCCCCAAAAGTCTGAATGTCATTACCTGTGCTCAAATGCAGGATCTTTGTCTCTTCAACTAGCTTCACTTTTCTTCATCATGTTTGGGGTCTCAGTGTCTTTTAATCAACTTGAATTCTGGTGATTTTTAGTGGAAATATGAAGTCAGTTCTCCTCAGGTTCACCCAGGTGTCCTAGTAGAGAAACCACAGGTGTTGTTCATCACATTAACTATGGACATACTTTTATAACCACTGAGTCACAATACCGTAAAATCCATCAAACTTATTTTGTGAAGCGTTTTGATTAAAATGTGATATTTAAAATAACCACTTGCGATATTTTGATATATTTTTATATGATAAACAGTGAGGTTCTGACATCTTTAACTGATTTTAACTCATTTCAATATTCTCCAGTAATACCAAATGAATGCAACTGAATTTCACTAGTGAAGAGTATACTTTAACGATGTCTATTTCTCATCATAAACTGAATTCCAGCACAACCCTGATGTTCTATGGCCCTTCAAGAAGAATATAACCTTGTTTAAACTAATTACACATAGATGGGATGTGTTGATCTGTGCTGAGGAGACCATATCTAGGCAAATATTTGCTCACATCTCAGGTCTTGTGCAACTTTGCCTTGGCAATAACATATTACCCACCTGACAAACATGTAAGATCATAGAAGGACCTTAAACAAATGCAAAGTATTTCCTCTTGGTTTGACAGCTGCTCTTCCCCAAAACTCACAAGCACTTGTGTGGGCTGTGGGAGTTTGAAGCGGCAGGCAGATTCTGTGGTATTGAGCTGATGTTAATGGGGTATAAAAACACTGCTTTAAGTCAAATGAGCCTTGAGCATTTTGTTTAACTATCAGCAAATGTTTCCTGGTGTGGAAAAGTTTGAATAGTTTTTATGCCATTTCCCTAACTCCCTATGTCCGATTTTTCCTGGTGTCACTAAAACCTCATGTACCAAGGCGACAACTGCAAACAAGGAAGTTTCAGACTACAGACTGCAGGGCATTGTCATTAGTGTATTTCACCAGAACAACTTACTTTAACACTGCAGGGTATATACCATCCAAGACTGTGCATTTTCATAATGTGTGAGAGGTAAACACACAAACTTAGACTTGGTATTTACACAGTTGGGTGTAATAGTTTGTTGGTATGGTAAGTAAACCTGTCAGGCAGTTTCAAAGGGCAAATATCTTATTCCTAAGAGCTGATATGCTGTGTAGCGTAGAGTAATGCAGAACACGCTGATAAATCATACAAGCCAGGTGACTATTACGGTAATATGATGGTCAGTTTAGTTGTTTACATGGTGGTTTGGGTTTCGTCAAGCAATTTAAAATGGTGTATGTGTGCAATAACAGTTTGATTACACTGATATCAGCACTGGACTGTGACCATTTCTAACTGACTGCAGAGACTTTGCCATGGGCTGCCTGAATGCAGGTCTAGCTTACCTACATTTTAAGATGACTTATCTATAGTACCTATAGGTACGATAAATACAGGTAAAACTGGAACCTCTATGATTGGTGCTGTTTTTAAAATCATTCCATACTAGTTTAGCATGAACTACATACTAGAATGATGAACAATACCCATCATCAATGCGGTAGGTCAATGCTTAAGTGTCCCACTTTACCTGTATAGACCATAGTCAGGTGATTGGTCAGCTGATGAATGTCAGTCAACTGGCTTTCTGAAATGACTGAAAAAAAAGTAGACAAAAACTCCATAAAACAGATTTGAAAAGTGCAAATTGTGAAAATGTCCTAATCTAGGATATTTATACAGTACATTGTAAAGACTGTGTGACGTGTCTTGTTTTCGCTTGCGTTGAATTCCAATATGGCGTCTAACAGTTTTAGTTCTAAATGCTATTCGATTCTCTATCCTGGCGCCAACTATCGTGAGCTATCGTGTTCGATAACCATCTTAGCAACAACATGCTGAGCCCTTAGGCTTAGAAGATTGACAAAAACATAATTATTTACATAATTTCTTATTTTTGTTAATTTTACATATAGGCTACATAGGTATATCACATACAACACATCGTGTTTTAACGCAAGATAGTTTTAAAAGACTCTACAGTTTGTTTTGAAAATCCTAGCATAATTTTACAAACTAGTTTTACCTTACAAGTTTAACTGGTTTATGAACTTGTGTACATCTAGAATAAAGTAATAAATAATGACTAATATGACCTATTTATGTTTTGCGATAAAATGTCCGATAGAGATTAGAGATTGACGAACTGTTTGGCGCCAAGTGATAGGCCTACGCGTTCTGACCTGTTTTTATACAGTCTATGGTTCTGACATAGGCTATCTAACTTTTCAGTTTATTTCGCTATACTGCAACTTATTATACTAAAACAGCGCATCTTCTCAAGTTTCTACATTTAGGCTAATCACTTCCAGTCAGATTGTGCCTCCTCACCTCAGGTGATCCTATTGTGCATGACTCACTTAAGTATCTGGAGCAACACGTTTTAGTTTCGTTTATCCCTCTAACTAGAGGTAACATTTTATAATTATCTGCTATTTTAATTGGGCAGGCTAATGTAATTGTTTTTTCAATCCACTATTATGATTTGCGTAGTTACAACAAACACATGCAAAAGTGCCTTGTATGCTAGTGATAACATCTGCACAATGTTTAATAATCATAAAGTTTCTTGCCATTTTTAACTAACTGAATGCTCTGATGAGGGCGAGGATGATCAAGCACATTAAAAACTAGGAAATTGTTTAATCATACCTATATATATTTTTTGTGTTTACATTAATGTTTTATCCTGAAATCAATGTAAATCCAGGAAAATCAAGGAAGGAAATTAATTAAGAGAAAACTAGCCTGGTACCTGTTAAAGTTCACAGTCAAGTCTTACCCTGATGTTTATCAGTATATAATATATAAAACATATTTGTCATCCTCACATTTTAATCGTATACAGGTGCATCTCAATAAATTAGAATGTTGTGGAAAAGTTCATTTATTTCAGTAATTCAACTCAAATTGTGAAACTCGTGTATTAAATAAATTCAATGCACACAGACTGAAGTAGTTTAAGTCTTTGGTTCTTTTAATTGTGATGATTTTGGCTCACATTTAACAAAAACCCACCAATTCACAACAAATTAGAATACTTCATAAGAAAAATACCAATAAAAAAAACATTTTTAGTGAAATGTTGGCCTTCTGGAAAGTATGTTCATATACTGTACATGTACTCAATACTTGGAGGGGGTTCCTTTTGCTTTAATTACTGCCTCAACTCGGCATGGCATGGAGGTGATCAGTTTGTGGCACTGAGGTGGTATGGAAGCCCAGGTTTCTTTGACAGTGGCCTTCAGCTCATCTGCATTTTTTGGTCTCCAAAATCATCACAATTAAAAGAACCAAAGACTTAAACTACTTCAGTCTGTGTGCATTGAATTTATTTAATACACGAGTTTCACAATTTGAGTTGAATTACTGAAATAAATGAACTTTTCCATGACATTCTAATTTATTGAGATGCACCTGTAGTCATTGTCACATTTTGAGAGTTTAGTCATTACAAAATGTCATTTATTGTCTTACAGAAGTTAAAATCCAGAATAAATGCCACAACAGATACTCTTCATTATACTTGCAGCAGAACTTTCTTAATTTTCTTTTAGCTTCTTCACTTCTTCACTTCACTAGAAAATAAATTATTTACTAACTTGCACATTGCACAACGTCACTAGAGCATTTTGTTCTTCCCATAACATCTTTGGTTTGCTAATTTTAGGTTTCAAAGAATATTTATACTCATCAACACTTCCTAATTGACAGCCTTTTAGGAGGGTACATCTACACATGAATAAACTTATGCCCAAAAGGCACTATTCCTAATGCTTTCAACATCCATCATGGAGAAGTCTGATGGATTATGGATTGAACCCAACTCAAACTCTGGCTTTCATGTGCACAGTCTCTTTCACAATGAGCCATTGACAGCATCAAGTGAGTTCTAGGTGTGCACATTCTGACAAATGTCTCAACTGAACTTCATCATAAACGGACACCTTTGGCAGTAACCTTTCTGTCCATAAATGGTTATATTGTGCATGAGAAAGTTGTTTCAAAGTAAGATGGTGAAAGGAGTGCATCTTAAACCTGCGTCTTTCTAACTGCCATGCAAATGAACCCCCTCTGGGAAATGTGCTAGACAAACAAAAATACAGAGAAGGAGCGCAAAGTAAACCTTTGTTTGAAGCAAGACATTCCACAAGTTTCCCAATTGTTATCTTAGCAGCCGTCGCTCTTTATAGTCTGGAAATAACATTTAAACCTGTGTTAAACTGTTATAGATATTTAGGGATGATATTACGCAGCATTTGGAAATCATATTTTTGTGTGTGTTTTTTTTTAAGTAAAAGTATCTAAACCTCCTTAAAACAGTATAAATTTACAGTGTAAGTTTATTTTATCTTGTTGCATTGGGAGGTTTCTTCACAGACACATTTTTTGCAATGTAAAAAGACTGAAGAAATCTGTGGAATAGCATGTAAAATGATGGTCTGATATCCAGTCTTTCTCTGGCTCACTCGCCGTCTTTATTTTCTATTATCAATAAAGTCTGTATTAAGTGTGTGTGTGTGCGTGTGGTTTGCATTGGCGTGTCTGTTTTACTGTGCAAACATTTTGGCATGCTGTGTGCTTGCAGATGTATCATCAGCACATTGACGCACAAACTCTCCGAAATATCTGGAAATGTACTTTGTGTTTGCATCATAATTTGTTACCAAGAGAAACGCCTTGAACAGTGATATATCTGTACCATAACATCTGCACATAGCTAAATATACAAATAAAAGAAGGCATGTATTTCTGTACATATGCATCTTTCTAACAGATTTTATTTTTAGTTTATTTATTTAATGCAAAAACGGCCTTTTTGATCATTGAGTTATTGGGTGAGTTTCATGAAACCCCATTAAAAATAATTATATTTTGCATAAAGAATTATTGTGTGTGTGTGTGTGTGTCTGTGTTTCCTTTTTATTGTGAGGTGACATTTTTATTTTTGACAAATTCGTATATAATCTAAATAAAAATTCTATATATTTTGCATAAAGAAGAAATTCTAAAAAACTATAATTATAATGAAAATAATTAATTTCCTTTGGTTATATGATCTTTTGCACATACAATATTAAAATAAAAACTACAGACTGAAATTGAATGAAAATTTGCAAAACAACTAGGCCATCTTGCCATATTTGCCCTATCATATTTCTCATAACTGTTGTCATTTAAGATAAAAAAATGGATGTCAGACATTTAATCAGGCAGTTCCTCTGGTAACTGTGTCTTTCCTCCTATGAGGGTGGGGGTTAGCGGTCCACAACAACGGACTGGCATGTCAAACGCCTTCAGGCTGGGAATGGGGCACTGAGACAATGTTTACACAGTTTAATATGGCCTGTGTATAAAAGTGCGACGGGAGTCAATGAAGCAAGCTTTCCTTCAGCAACTCTTACTTGAAGTCTTGTGCACACCCACATCAGGTGCACTCACTCACACACACACACACACACACACACACACACTCGTCACAAGCAGTATTAGCCATTGAGGTTAGTAATGTGGCACTCCACAATTCCAGCTTGTCGCGTTCCCTGTTGAGTCTGTAGGAGGCCTAGAATTAGACCCACATTTGAGAAACAAGCAGAAACCAAAGGAAACAAGCAGAGGCCTTCCTGATCGCACCTCCAACACTGTCTTCACCTGGACAGGTAAGTCTGACTGGCTACCTCCTATCAATTCACTTTCAAGGGCAACAACTCCTGATATTACTGCTTACGTGTATTTGATCTGTATTTGAGAAGGGAAAAGCAAATATTTTGTAGTTCATATGACTAGTCAACAGTTTTAGACATATTGTACATTCTGGCAAAGTTCTCAATGTTATGAACAAATATTCTTCCAGTAACGATAATAGAGCATTCATTCAAAGTATTGTATTATTGTATTATTCTCATTTATGCATTGTTTTGGTAACATTTTTCTGAAATAATTTAGTTGGACATTTGTCTATGATGGTTTAGAGAAAATTCAAAAGTAACGTTCCCATAATGTTTGCAAAAAATTTAATCCAATGTTCCTCCTTAACTTTGCTTTTAACATTCACATAACCAAGAAAAAGTTTTTTTTTTCTTCGGAGAACATACAGAAATAACGTTTTCATAACCTAATGGGAACCTCAGCACAACATTCTCAGAACACATTTTTGGTTAATGCTTGAATGCTTAAATAAGATTTGGCTACACCTAAATTGTGGATGTAATTGTTTACAAAACTAAAATTTGTAAAATTGTGAAACAATTAAAAATGCACGTGTTGGAGCAGATAGTAAAGGTAAAGCATCATTGCACACATTCGTCTTTCACTATAGTGTTAAAAAGCATCCCAGGATGCACTTCATGACGTTGGGAAGAAGCTCAAATTTGGATAGTTTTTATTTGTGCAAAATGTTTTGGTCACTAAATCATTCCTATGCTTCTATTTGTGCTATTCCATAGTTTTCATGAAATGAAGAAATTGGTCATAATTAAGAATGAGGGGGTGTGTCCAAACATTTGACTGGTAATGCAGTTTTTGTGCAGCAAAACACATAAATGCATTTGTAAAGATGTATATTTTAAGTTTTATAGGCAACCGAGCAATCCACTCTAAAAAATGCTGGGTTAAATATAACCCAGCGCTGCGTTAAAAAGGGACAAACCCAGCTATTGGGTTGTTTTGACCCAGCGGTTGG